TCATGTATCGAGGATGGGCACCTCTTCCCTCTGTGCTCTTCACACCAGGTGTTCCTTTTGCATGAATTTGGCATTGCCACCTTCTTAGAACCCAAAACTATTCCAGAAAGTGGACCTAGGACATATTTTACAAGATTCAACTTTCACCAGCCTGGTTTTGTTCTCCCGCTGCCAGTTTACATGTAAATTACTCCTGGTCTCAATATTGCATTTCCTTCTAGTATTGCTGTGGCTCAGGCTGTAGTAGCGTTTTGTTTGTTTGTTTGTTTGTTTTCCTCTTTCATAAAATGTAGACAGTACAGAACCTGAAAAAAAAAATTGATATCCTTTTAAATAAGTTTTCCCATACATAGTCAAAACAAAAATGAGATAATTTTTATCCCTTTTTAAAAAATATATAATTTTATTGATTTCAGAGAGGAAGGGAGGAGAAAGAAATAGAAACTCAATGATGAGAGAAAATCATTGATTGGCTGCCTCCTGCATACCCCACACTGGGAATTGAGCCCACAACCCAGGCATATGCCCTGACTGGGAATCAAACTGTGATCTCCTGGTCCATAGGTCGATGCTCAACCACTGAACCATGCTGGCCAGGCGATTTTCATCCCTTTTAAAAAGGGGAATCCGCCAAAACCGGTTTGGCTCAGTGGATAGAGCATCAGACTGCGGACTGAAGGGTCCCAGGTTCGATTCCGGTCAAGGGCATGTACCTGGGTGGCGGGCACATCCCCAGTGGGAGATGTGCAGGAGGCAGCTGATCGATGTTTCTCTCTCATCGATGTTTCTTACTCTCTATCTCCCTTCCTCTCAGTAAAAAATCAATAAAATATATATTTAGAAAAATAAAAAGGAGAATCCTACATGAAGATATGAGACCATTTCAGTTCCAGTTTTGTTCCTATTTCAAAGTTTGGGGGAGCCTAGGAGTTCTGTGGAAATCATTCTTCCTGAGGAGTGGAATCTTTCTTGAGATATCTCCAGTGTAAGGCAGTTACTCTTTGTAAGGAAGGACTGTGAATTTCTTTTAAGAAAGATAAATGAAAATTAGAGGCTAAGAAGTTACTGATACTTGGTAGAGAAAATGCTGGGTAAGAAAGAAAAACAGGAGTCATGTTCATTTGTTCTGAAAAGAGTGGCTTGATTTCTGAAATAACTTTTGGAACTAGAAATTTGAAGTCGGGTTATTTTGATTTTTTTTAAAAATGAAAAGTCAAGTTATTAATATTTGAAAAATGGCTACCATGTGGTTCATAGAACAGTATAATACTTTTAACAGCATTGCAGAGACTCCATAATAAATATTTGTGAGATCCACATCATATGACAAATTCTATTATGGGAATCTCTGTAAGTCTACGTTTTGCTGGTAACTGTTTTCATAGTTATGTGCCACTTAAAAGCCCTAGTATTTTGCTTACCTCTTTCATACTCCCAGTTTTCTCCCTTTTTCCTTTTCCCTTAAAACTAGAGTGACCTGTTATTCTGCAGTCTTTTTACATATTGTAAGATGAAGAGATGAAGAAGTGTCATCTCCTCAGTTTGGCCATTTAGACCATTTTCCTTCCAAGCACCCAAAATGGCTGGACAGTTTATCATTTCTTTTTCATAAATCACTTTGAACCTTTATCTCAAGTTAATCTGTGAAGCTAAACAAAAATTCTTGTTGTAGTATCCATGTTCTTATTTACTCACAAAGCTCTGGGGAATCTTACAAAAAAATTTTTTTGTGTGTAGATACAATTAGAATAGTAATCACAATTAAAATATCTTCTTTGTTTCTAATGCCAAACCAGAAGGTAGCAAGGGGTGTGTGTGTGTGTTTAGTGCAACTTAATATAGTGAAAACTACAGATTGGCCGAATAGTTCTTTCTCTGCCTTAGGTTGGCCTATCTTGGATCAGAAAAATACTACTGGTCTTAACTTGTTTGTCAGGGCTGACCCTAGCATGGAGGTGTTGAACTTTAGTTGCCCTCTACCAAACCAATGGTCAGAGAGCCTCACTGCTAGGACAAGTCACTTTCAGGACTCAAAAGAAATATTCATTTTTCTGTCTTGCACGCTTTGTTTGCAAGCTGTTAATTGTTTTTGTCATTATCAATGTAACATTTGTGCAACTTTGAGATTTATAGATATAGTATACATACTTGACTTCATTTCTTCTTGGCCACTATCCTATAAAGTAGGTTTCAGTATTCTTAATTTTGTCTCCTTTATTTGGGAGACTAGTACCCAGAGAAATTAAGTGAGATGCCCAAGATTACACAGCTAGTGGTGGGGCTAAATCCTAGGCCTCCTAAATCCGTGGTGAGTGTCCTTTCTATAATATGACAGCTAGAGTTTACTCAATCTCAGGCAGCCAAACTCAGAATTATTTGATTGACTTTTCAAAGACTGAGGAGAGCAGGCAATGTGATATTAAGCAAATTATTACAACTGGAAATGGAGTTAATGGTGCTTTGTCCTGGATCCAACTCTACACAACTAAATGATGACTAGTATAGGATTTTTAAATACCCGGTGACACATAAACATGAAATCTTGTCAGTATAATGTAGGAAGAATTCATGTTGTGATCTATGAGCATATAAGAGTATATGTTATACTGCATGTGCTGAGACATTGAGAGCTTACTAAAATAATATTTTCTGCAAGATATATGTTTGAACTTGAATTCAGCCTGGGGATATCTCTGTTTCAAGACCAGAAGTTTGTTTAAAAAGGAAATGCTTATTATACCCTCAAACTGATAGGCAGATGGTGGAAGACTTGAAGAAACTCGTTTTCAAAGAGAGAGCGAGAGAAAGAGAGATTTATATGGCAAGCTCAAGCCTCTAACTATAATCAATGTGTATAATACACTAAGTTAAAGAGGGATGCTCTTCTCCCCCTGGTATTCCTTTGCTTTTGGCCTTTTTAAAAAATATGTGTTTGAATAGAAATCGGAGTACGCTCCTTCTCAGAACTGGGGACCCTCCTAAGAATATGTACATTTTTCTTTTTAAATAAAAATGACTAGAAAATCTTTTTTTTAATTTTGCTTTTTTTTCTGAAGTAGTACAATAAACAGTCAGTGTAAACACTGCAAAGTGCCTATTGTTGGGGACTTTGATATCTGTGAAATATGGCAGTGCTCCTCTTGAGGAGAAAGAGCAGAAAACGTGTTCCTCAGTTAACGGGTTGCAGAGGAGCTGTCCTGACCAGGTTGCAGTAAACTATGAACCTAGTGTTGCAGACTGAGTTTTCCATTGTCAGCTTCTCCACCCCATATCATGAGGATAATCAATTGGGGGGAGGGTGGTGGTGGTTATTTTTTGCTTTCTTAACCCTTTAAGACTAGAAATGCAATAGTTGATTTAGTATGTAGGACTTTAGGCTAATGTTTTTGAACAAAAACTCTTCCTTAATACATACCCACTTAATAAAATTCCTTTTACTTAAATTTACGACGGGAAACCATAAAAATTCTAGAAGAATCCAAAGGCAACAAAATCTCAGACATATGCCGAAGCAATTTCTTCACTGATACAGCTCCTAGGGCACTTGAAACTAAAGAGAAAATGAACAAATGGGACTACATCAAAATAAAAAGCTTCTGCACAGCAAAAGAAATGATCAACAAAACAACAAGAAAGCCCACTGAATGGGAGATGATAATTGCAAACAACAGTTCTACTGAGGAGTTACTATTCAAAATATATAGATAACTCATACAACTCAACATCAAACAAACAAACAATACAATACAATTAAAAATGGGCAGAGGGCCGAAACCGGTTTGGCTCAGTGGATAGAGCGTCAGCCTGCGGACTGAGAGGTCCCAGGTTCGATTCCGGTCAAGGGCATGTACCTGGGTTGCGGGCATGTGCAAGAGGCAGCTGATCGATGTTTCTAACTCTCTCTATCTCTCTCCCTTCCTCTCTGTGAAAAATCAATAAAATATATTTAAAAAAAAAAAATATTTCAAGAAC